CAGGTGGCGCAGCTGCTGTGCCAAAGCCGAGGGCCCGGGTGGAAAGCTTACTCGGGCTTTGCAGGCATGTTCTGCAGCGGTCTGGTGGAAGCCTAAGGTGTTCGTTTGTTTTTCAAGGTAGGGAGCTATTTTTCTAGGCCTTATCGGGTTGCTCCCCGGGTGACCTAAATTAGAAATTTTCCAGTGCGCCTTCTCAAAGGTATTCTTTCTTTTTCCCCTCTGTCTCTCCCAACTACAGACCTAGGCTCCTAGAATATAACACCGAACCTAAGGAAATTAATATGACGCTCACAGATGCCAAGTTCCAAAACAGAAGGGTTGAGGAAGGAAGGAAGGAAAGGAGGGAGGGAAGGAAGGCAGAACTGAGCAAACAGCTCCTCCTGAGCGTGACGTGACAACTGCAGATAATTTGGAGAGAAGGGGTGGCTGCTAAAGGGATCAGTGCTAGCAACCCATTGCCAATAATCAATACTTTTTATTAATTATACACTAATTATAAGGTACGTTGTAGTTTTAGAAACTTGATTTGATCTGGGCACCAGGCCACACTTGCTTCCTGTAGTTGATCAGTTTTGTTTTATTAGTGACAATGCATTTATTTCTAGATTATTCCCCCAGTGGGAGAAATCAACCTAGGAACTGGGGTAGGCCCTGTGTGCCATCTTTATTTTTATGTGCCATATTTACAAATACTTGGGACTCACTTATTATTTACTAAATGAACAGTGATCCAAAAACAGCACACAAAACAACAGTTTATGTCCTTAGAACACTATATAGTTTTAAAAATTGCATTGATTTTCTTGATTTTTTTTCCTGGAGTTATTATTAAACTAGTGAAATCTGGGCTCAATGAAGTCCATCTCTGCAAAAGACATGTTCGCACCTATTTTCATTTGCATAATTTGTAAATTATAGAATATGTATTGATTGGAAAACTTATTACCTCCTATGTTATTTCAAAGCGGCAGACTTTGAAAGCCACACCAATACAAAGAATGGTGTGTCAAGCCAAATTCGGTCATAATCAGTTCACATTTCAGAACTGAACATAACAGAAAGTTAAAGTTAAGCTGAAAAATACCTAAAGCCAGATTGATGGAATATATTGTACGGCCTCATTTTAAAAAGTGTGTGTGTGAGATAATTTCAAGGTAGGGAGCTATTTTTCTAGGCCTTATCAGGTTGCTCCCCGGGTGACTTAAATTAGAAATTTTCCAGTGAGCCTTCTCAAAGGTATTCTTTTATTTCCCTCTGTCTCTCCCAATTACAGACCTAGGCTCCTAGAATATAACACCGAACCTAAGGAAATTAATATGACACAGATGCCAAGTACTCTAATAAATTATCACAGTTAATTTGTTTCATCAAAAGCATTCTTAAAGACTTAAAGAAGTGTGGAAATATGAGACAGAAATCAAATGTATGGCAGGGAACATATCTGAACATATCCACTGCCCCCCAAAATCCAATAACCCCTCTTATGCATGTATTCTTCATGCCAAGCAAGAAACTTGGGAATCTTTATTGACCCCACATTCTCACCCCCTCCTGGCCTGGCCTATTTTAATGATAGTATCACCTAATTTTAAATATATTAGCTGCTAGTTTGTTTTGATATCTCTAAGTTTCTTGTTACTCTTTTTCTAAACCTTTCTGGTTACATTTGCTCTTCCAGACTAACTTAGAAACAGCCTCAGCTTGACCTCTCACACGCTGTTCAAAATCCTTTGCAATATATTGTTGAGATTGTATTGCATGTATGTTGAGATAAAAATTATCATCGTAATATTGTTAACTAATTCCATCTAGAAACTGTGTCTTTTTAAAACTCAAATATTAAGTTTTATAGTTGTCTTTGTAAATGTTTTGTGCATTTTGTGATAGGAATATATATATACACGCATATATAGAGAAAGCATTTAAGTACACACACATATTTTTAATGTCTATATAGTATACTACTATCTATCTAATGTATTATCTATATGCTAGTACATGCTATTCTATATATTCTCTTTCTCTACATATAGATATAGATGTAGAAATAGATATAAGTATAGTTCTCATTGCTATTGTATAGGTGTTTATTGATTCCTTCTTAAATTAGTATATGGGATGGATTTGTGTATGTTGATTTTATGTATAATCACTTTATTAAACTTTCTTGGTACGTTTAAATGAAAAATAATTGCCTTAGATACTTTAGGACCAAAAAACAAGAGATCCATGAGCAACAAAGATCCTGTAACTTTATTTTCAGTGCCTGTTCTTCCACCTCTGTGTGTTCTCATTTGCTTGACTGGGACATGCAGAGCCGTGTGGAACAGCAGGTCGGGAGGATCCTTGTGTTCTTCCTACTTGTGATGGAAATGCCGTTAATGTTTCATTATTAAGTCAGATGTTCACTACAGATTCCTGGCAAATATTTTTTATCACGTTAAGGAAATTTTTTTTCTGTTCCTTGCTTGCCAAATATCCAGTGGTTCTCTTCATTCCCCAAGGTCATGGTGAAACATGCCTAGACCCACTCTCTCCCTTTCTCACTGCTGGTCCTTTGCTCCTGTTTGGTCTCGGCTGTGCTGAGTTTCCAACATGTTTGAGGACTCCTCTCCGGTGCTCCCTCTGTGCCACGCCTTCCTTGCCCCACTCCCTGTGTGTCCTGTTCTTCCTGAACCTGCTCTACAACTGCTACAACTGGTCTGGGTGTATTTTTCTCCCCGTAAGACTGTAGTCCTAAGCTGAGGTCCTTAACTATTCATTTTTGTGTCTTAAATGACCAAGCTCCTGACATGTGTAAAATAGATGCTCAATTAAAATTGTTTCAATAAATTAATGAATGAAAAAATCGCTGAAAAGTTTTCTATGGATAATACAAGCGGGTGATTCCTCTGACTTGAATAATACTTCATTATTTCTTAGAATTTCTTAGAACCACACTTTTGATTTCTTGCATCATGTTCACTGTTTGTTTCTAGTAGCAGACGTTAGGACGTGGCCCTCAGAGGATGCTCGCTGTTGAAAAGGAAGGAAAAACTGGCACAGTGTTGCATACACTGTGTTCAGTCTTGGGAGCAGGATATCTTTTGTTAGTTATCAACACTTAGGAAAATAAAAGTTATTCTTGAATTTTTAATTTTATTTTAGAAGAAAATTCACTTTCTTTTTTTTACGTGCAGGGAATAACCATTCGACCACTAGTGGAGTTTCTTGATGTCAAGAGGGCCAATAAGAAACAGCAAGCTGTCAGCGAAGAAATCCACTGCCGGGTAGGTGTTGGTGTAGAACAGTTTAAATATATTGTTGGATTCCGTCACAGTTTGACGTCATGGTGCTCGTACCCCGAGAAGAGGAAATGGCAGATGGTAAAAAAGAGGGGGGGCTGAGAGAGGTATGAATTGGGGGAGTGGCTTCTGCAAGTTAGCCCACTGAGCTCCCCAAGAATACAGGGACAGGGAACCCCCTCAGTACCTTCTTCAACTGGACATGTTTCTACCAGAAAGTTATGACCGTATCTCTTATTTTCCAAAACTATGAATAAACTGGTAAAGATGAGAAAAATAATGTAAGAATTGCTTAGTATCCATGCGACAAACATCTCATCAATTTGTTTGAAGATTAATTCTTGTTTCATTGCTTTCAGTAAGCTGTCGGTCTTTGAAGTTTAGGCGTGATATAGAGTAGAAATTACTGCTTTGGGTAAAGATTAATCAATGAGCCTGCTTTTTTCATTTTAGTTTTTTGATCATGTGAAGACTGGGATTGAAGATGTTTGTGGACACTGGGGTCACAACTTTTGGAGAGACAAGTAAGAAGGCCTGATGCCATTACATTACGGTGGCTCCGGAAGGAGCGCTTACTGACTTCTGTTGTTTTTCAGAGCTTGTGTTTCCTAAGCTTCCCACAGTATGTCCCTTAGGATAAAGCGAAATTCTAGCAGAGGCCTGTACAAGGTAGAAGCTCTTTCTCTCTGATACAAACAGCCAGTGTGGGCTCCATCGCGAGCTCTGCTCCACAGTCTCCTCGTGGCCCCAGGACCCTTCTGTGTACTTAATCCACTAACTATCCATTTCCAAAGTTGCCTCATGGACCAAAACGGCCCCCAGCATTAGCCACATGCACACGGTCCAGGCTGAACGCAGGAAGAAGACTATGAGGAGACAAAGATCATGTCCCAGCCTCCTCCTAAACAGGGAAATCACAACTTTCCACACAGCTCTTCAGTTGTAGCACACGGCCCGGCCTGTCACAGCCAGGACTCGGTCATAGGACATTTCTCACTGCAGGGGACACTGAAGAATGCAGTCTATTTGGTTAAAAAACTGGGGCGCCCATTACTATTTGTGCTCCCAAATATGTCGAGAGCACCTGAGGACATAAATAGACTAACGGGAATAACGCATTTTGAAAGCTACACTTAGCTGAAAGATTATGTGCACTTACATAAAAGTCTATTGCCTATATTTGTATGTACCTACCTACCTGTCATCTGTCTCTCTATCATCTATCATCTGTCTATCTATCTATCTAATGTTTTTATCTTTAAGGGATAAATCAGATCGGGTGTCTGTCCGCAAAGGCCTTAGAGTTGAAGTGGAAGGTGGGCTGGCAGGCGGAACCGCTGGCTGGCGGACGGGCGGGTCCCTGGAGGCCGGCTCCGAGCCGTCCTTGCCGGACCCTCTCGCCCTCCCGCCTTGTCCTTCCGCACTAACAGCCCAGCCCTGCTAACTCCCTGCAGCCCACCGGCCTGCCCCTTAGTGTAACTGAGGAGGGGCCTGAGGCGCCCGCCGTGGGCGCGGAGGCTCGGGCCTCACGTCGCCCCACATGAGACGTAGAAGCCGCAGACTCGGCCTCAGACATGGTGCGGAACAGTGAGGGCGACAGACAGTCACGTGGCCTTGCAGACCGAAGTGGCTGCCTGGCATTTCAATCAATCAGAGTAGGTGGGCGCTGCGGGGACCCCACGTGCGGGGACAGCCTCGGTGGGCCGACCATGCCGCTCACGGGTGCGCAAGGGCCGAGCCGAGCCTGGCTCATCAGAAAGGGAAATATGTACTTGTCACTTAAGGACGTAAAGCAGTAAAATAACACACCAGACTCTCCGCTGTGAAACTGTGAGAGCAGCGGCCGTTTATCTTGGGCAGTGTGCACTGTTCTTGGAGGTGGGGTAGCCCGGAGGACCCCAGGTGTCTGCCTTGTGACCGTCCGCTCAGCCCCTTGACAAACTCCTGGGGACTCCTGACAAAGACCGATGCCACCTGTGCCAAGCCGTGATACCACCACCCTCCTGCCCCCTGCTTCCGTGGCCACCCTGCCTGTCCCCTGCTTCCGTGGCCACCCT